TGGGGATATTTTAGATATGCGCTGGCCGGCGCATACTATACAAGAAGTCACAAATAATGAAGCAATAATGTGTGAAAGCTCAAGAGGAGGATTATCAGGGGATCTGAAGCCGCGTAATTCTTTTGTACAAGAAATACGAAACATACCAATCGTTATGATTACACATAATATGGACATTCTACAACGGTTTCTTCAAAAGGTTAGATACATAAAACAGAGGGTTCTAACTACCGGAATCAGCATTATCATAGGATATGATAGAGAATTAGGTGTGGCTGTCCAAGAGACTTTATCAATGAGAAATAGAACATTCAGCACCGAAGTAAAACGTCACGGAAAATATTTCCTGAATCTTAAAGGAGAAATGCGGAAAATCCATACGGTACTTCAAGAACTGAAAGGACCAATCTTAGTAAGTATCGCAATAATCAAAATTCGGAATCATCAGAAATCATTTGTCCAATCCGTACTATAATCCTGAAGAAATACCACGCTGTCATCAATTCGGTGTGAGATCCAGTACATAAGATCACAGCAGCAGAAATGATACATACATGTCGAAGAATTCTACATCATCCCGCAGCGTCCTTATCATATAAGGTATACAATTCCATACGCAAGGGTAAACACCAACCGGATATTAGGAACAGTACCTACTGGCTACTACGGATTGAAGTATATCGTCTGATTCTCCTTTTAGGGATGCTGGTTGCATTCACACTGGAAGTATTACCGTTATTAGTAGGCAACCCATTGACAGTTGTTCTCTCTGTATCATATGGACTCCTTGTCTTAGGCGTCATAGGATATCTTTATGTGCTTCTGAAAGTATCCGAATATGGACAAAGATTCAACGGTATCAGTAACCCTCGTTTTAAGGATTGTATATGAGGCGTGGAGAAATACATGTGAGAAAATATCTCGACATCTTGTTCCAACACAGTAACTGATTACTATTGGATGCTGTGTTGTAATGATAGGGGGGTTTCTCTATCCCTGAAGGGGGATCGTAAGTTCGAAAACCCCTTTGTAAACTGCACAATTAGTCCCCTTTTTTTTCTTATTTTCCTATCTACCTCATATTTCAACTGTGTCCCGTATCGTAACATGGTATTGCCTTGAGTAAGTCACTTTTTTTAGTTTTACTTTAATATGGTCGTTATAAAGCCGTTCCTGTGGTATGTAGAATTATAAGTAAACAGCCCCCATCTTGTGGGTGTCCTGGGTATCTTCAGAATGGTGCAAACCTATATAGCTATATGGATGCCTCATCACTTACCGCGAATACATTTCCTGAAATCAGAGCCTGGTATAGGAAGCTAAAATGGCTATATAATTTATTCTTGTCATGACGACAAGTGTCTTTTTCTTTTCTCTGGCGTCTACCTCCCTGAAACTGATCAAGAGTATGTTTCATGTGTACTGAAAGGAAACTCATTGGTCGCATTTTATTACCTTCTAAGAAAGAGAATTCTGCTGTCCTTAAAGGTACAGATCAGAAGAATTCAGGAGGGATTTCTATGAGGGGTTATCAGTGGAATTATTATATGCCTTGTTCCATGTGTGTCACACGCTCTGTTTCTGTTTTCACTTCTTTTTTGGCTCCGTGCTGTTCAATCTCCAGATATTTTATCTTTTCTCACGAGGTTGATATTAGGGAGGACATGTGACTTTCTTTTTAATCTCTGTTTTGCTGACATCAGGAACCATGTTTTAATTCATTTGTCGCCATTCCTCGCTGTTACCTTCCCTTCTTGCTCTCTTGTGTTTTTCATACTCTTTGTTAAAGCAAAGAAGAACAATGACGGCGGAGGAGACCCATATTATGAACATTTTCACATTGGATTCATTAATACAACGATATATAATCACGAATGATTCTCATATGGCGCCATAAATATCTGTTACATCATTCTAATTTATTCCCGATATTTCTGATTTCATTGGTATGCGTTTCGTTCCAATCATTTTTACAGGCATTACACCGAACAACGCGCAATCATTTGCACAACACCTAAGATGCGGCCGTGTGATCCCTTGGTCTTTTTATTATTGGGACTCTGTCTCTTCATTAGACAAGTAGTTGAACTATATACTCAGAAATCATTTCATATTCGATGAACAACATGTCGCTGTAACCTGTTCTATTAATTAAGTTCACATCATGGAAAAATGGCTGCGTCCCATATGTTTGTACCTCTAGAAAAGATACAACCGCAACCATTATGTGATCAATTAAAAGGGCAATATTAGGGAATACAGGTGCAAAACTCACAGGGTTCATAATATATGAGGCCGGCCATCAAATTGAGTTGAGACATGAAGGTACAGGAGTTCTCTGAACTGGAGGGGGGATCCTATTTATGAATAAGAGGATCAAGAAAGATATTAAGAGAGAAGAGGTAAACCGTTAATGGATATCTGTTCAGACTCAATCCACAAGAAAGTGTCAAATATAGCACTTCCTATGTGATACTATGCACAGCGTGTATTCAACTGTAATTCTCACTATATAATCCAACCGGCCAAATCATTCCTTGCGGCATCCTTGTATCAAAACATATTGGAGATTGAACACCTATTCCTCTTGTGTCCTCCTGAGAGATACATTAATTAATACAGTGAATGCATATTTATCTGTTAATTGCAACTATCTGGGCGTTATATTTTTTTTTCTTTCCATTCCATCAAAGGACGAAGGGGAGCTAAAGGATCCTTGGGTATTTTTAATTTCAAGATTCATTTTTCTTGCGCAGATGGCTTTGTTCAATAAACAACAATTAATATTATTATGTGCACAAGAGTTTCCTGATATGACCCATGTCCCTCTCGTGTTCTGGACAGGCGTTAGTCCATTCCTTCAGTCAGTGGTGGATATCAGACCCCACGAATCAGGTAGCTATGACAACCGTCCAAGGAAAAGGATTGCAAAAAGAGGCAGGTAATAGTAGGCTTCTTTAAACCTGGGATGTCATCACTGAAATACTCTCAATGAACCGGACTTAACCGCAGAGGAGGGGATTCCATATCTATATACATATATTTAATATATATAGAAGACTATCTGAGGAAGAATCAGGAAAGAAGCAGGTACACAAGTCCGTTATCTGCCAACCCAGTCTGTTTATAACGACTATGGCAAAGAAGCTATCTAACCTTCATGTTATTAAAGAATAATCCTGTTAAATTTTCATCTACCAGTTAGATAAAAGTCATGAGATGCCCAGGATTAATAAGAAAGGAGCAACTTTATCCTAAACCCACCAGAAGTTGACCAAAGCTGGTGAAAAGGAAAACGAAAATAAAGCCAAAAAGCCGGTCCTTTATGTATAAATAATATTTCATTAGGATTCGGGGTATTCTACTAAATAGACGTGGTTCAGAAAATGGTCCTATAGGATAAAGGAAAAAGTAGTCCTCCCCAGAAACTCTCGAAGATTTTACAAGAAGGACGTGACAAGTTTCTGTCTATGATCCAAAGCAGTGATACAAGCAGAAATTTATGTAGTTGTATTCGAATAGCCCCGAGAGTTTTCCCTGGTTATTTAAAAAATAGTCCAGAAGGAATTATAGGAACCTCCTGTAATCCCTTCATCTTATCTTTTTTTTTTAAATATTACGGATATTCTGTCCAATATTAACAGAATCTAATGATGAGACCGTTTAAGAAGTCGAAGAATTCAGATTCCTTATCCCCAGGCTGGCTAGAATTGTGACTCGGGACCCCCTGAGATTTAAAGTACGGTTAGTTTTCTTTTACATTAAAATTACATCGCCAGCTTATATAGGAGCTACCAGGCATCTCAGTGAACTCCCTCCTGCCGAGAAACCAGGAGAGCATCGGTACCCCAGGAGATGTACAGGGGAACAACTAAGGAGGGCAAACTAGAAGGAGCCTCATCAACATTGAAGGATAAAAAGTAAGCCCAAGACAATAATAACTGAGAAATAAACCTTAATGCCGAGGGAGTTATGCAGTGAGGCCTTATCAAGATCGACTGGGAACTCCCCCAAATAACCAAGGACAAAGAAGATCCCCTACGCAGAACTGGAGCTTAAGAGAGGAACAGTAGACCGTGAAGATTAACCTGGAAATCTTAAGAATCAGCTGTAAAGAAGGATTGGACCCTAGAACTAAACTATAAAACTACGACCTAAAGAATAAACCGTAAAATATGGAAACTGAAACAAGGAACCTGAACCCTAATCCCTCAACCCTACCCATAACCCCTAAATCTGAGAACTAAACCCAGAACCCTGAAGGGACTGAACCCTGAAGACTGAATCCTAAGCCATAAGCCTTGATCCCTAGACGATAAATCCTGATCCCTGAGACTTAATCCCTGGACCCTAAATACTCAAATTCTAGACCCTGAAGGCTGAACCCTAAACCATGAAGAGTAAGCCCTAGACCCTGTGCCCTGATGCATAAAAGCTGAGCCCTAGACCCCGAACCCTGACCCTTGAACCCTAAACCCTAAACATAAACCTGAACGCTAGACCCTAATCCCTGGACCCTAACCCCTAACCCTAAAACTAGACTCTGAATCCTGAACCCTAAACAATAAAGCCAAACCCCTGAACTTTAACCCCTGAACCCTAATCCCGAACCCTGGACATTAGGCCTAAATCCTTACCACTAAAACTAAATCTAAACCTGAATCCTAAAGCCTGAGAGCTGAAACATGAACCCTAAAACTGAGCCCTGAAACCTAAACCCTGAACCCTAAACCCTAAACATAACCCCTGAACCCAGAACCCTGGACCCTCAACCCTAAACCCTAGACCATAAACCCGGTACCCAAAGCCTAAAACCTGAACCCCGGAACCTAAACCCTAAAACCCGACACCTAAACCCCCATCCCGCACTCGCCTAACCCTAAACCTAATCCCCCAGTTCCGTAATCCTCACTCTTGGTTGCTGACCGTTCCACCCCAACTTCCAAACTAGATTCGTTAATTACGATCTCCTGTTACCAACACTCCCTCACTCTAATCCACTATTTTCATCGTCCTCCTGGGACTCTTCACTCCACTCCTGTCCCTAGGCCCCGTATGCCCCCTCCCTCATCAGCTGCGGTTTCAATCCCAGGGGCGATAGACTGGGCATGTGGGACTCGGGAAGTTCCGCCCACTTAGGGTGTCTGAATCTTTGAAATGTGGGTTGCTCTGTTCTTTGGGGGGGGTTGGGGTTTCTCTATCGAAGGCTCCATCCCTAGAAGATCTGTCCTGGGTTGAACGGCACATGCTCCTCATTTGGTCTCTGGAACTTGCGGCGTTGAGGTTTCTCCTCCAGATTGGGGTTCCTGACTGTATTGGGATGGGCCCGTGTGCGGAGATGGGGGGTGGGGTTGTTTGGTCCTGGTACTAAAATTAGACCAGCTGTCCAACACTTTTCCGAGTTGGTAGAGCTGCCCCTCCTGGCTTATCCTCCAACTGATCGTCATCCTTATTCTCGCAATTAAACTCTAGCCCCACAAACGCTCCGTAGTCTTGTCTGGTTCCTACTTGGCCTAATCTTTCACTTCCCTACAAGCTCCTTCCTCAGTCGGTTTCTTAGGTTCCCGCTGTCACGGGGGTGGCTGGCCCTTCTGAGCGATTCACCTATGCCTTCTGAGGCTAGGGTTCGGCCCCTCCTGGAATCGGGTGTCCATAGCATCTTAAACTCTGTCACTAATCTCTCTTAATCCCTCCTCCTTGACTGGTTTTGCCTCGGCCCCTCGATTGCCCGGTGGCTTGTCTCCAACTCCTGGTCTTCCAGTTTCCTCTTCTTCCCAACCCCCCCCACATCGACCTCCTATTGCGTCCTTGGACTTTCTTTTTCCACTGGGGCTCCTGTTAATCCGGCTGTCCTCCCTATCAGCATTCCTCGGCCTACTCCAATTTTACTCTTAGTCGCCTGGCCTCGGTGACCTAGTGCGCGGTACCTTCGCCAGAGGTCCTAGACTTCAAACACGGCCGGTAGGGGACTCTTAATTAGTCCAGTGGAACAGAGACTCGGATTTCACCTCGTCATATATCCTACCCTCCTCCTCCTGCCTCCTGGTGTTCGTAGATTTCTCCTACTCGCAGTTTTTCCATAAACACGATAAAGGCCGTAGCCACTCAGTACAAACATTACAACGACTGCTAAACTTCCCATTATAGTTCCCACCAGGGGACCTTCTTGTCTCTCCTCCTCTGCAGGGATCGCAGATAATGAACCGCTGGTGGCCTGTTCCACCTTTTCGTGCTTGTGGTTGCCTGAGTATAGTTGTTTTGTTCCTGATGGATCCCCCTTGACTCCCTTTCCTGGCCTTAGTTCCTCAGCTTCGTTTATCTGGTCCTTGCCCTCATCTCCTGTTACCATCTCCCGTTCCTGGTTAACTGCTTCACCTTTGCTCTTTGGTTCCTGACCCTGGCTAGACTCGTCGGTGACGAGAGGTGAGAGATCGGCTCCATGTCTGTCCTGTGGGCCTCCGCCGTTGTACCCTGGGGTTGTTTCCCCGGGTTTTAGTCCCTGCCCTGGTCGGTCATTGTCGTCGCTTCTCTGAGGATCTGGGGCGATGCTCTCTTGTACTCTTCCTGATTCCTTTCCTGAGAGGCTCTGGGTTGGCCTTGAACTCATTCCCTGTTCCAACCCCTGCGTCATCGGATCACAAAAGCAATCTATTCCTTCTCTATTTTCTGCTCCATGACAGTTATCAACGCCTTCACAAATCTCATACCCTCCCCCTATTGTTCTATACCTGAAGCAGGGCTTATCTGTATATTCGATATTTTCGGTCAGGAATCTATCTAACCCTTGTGTAGGACATTGCGGACAGAGAACTGTCAGGGAATCCGCCACTGTCAGGACCAAACTGAGGGCTTCGACGGTACACTTCTGGAACGAGTTCCTTCCTTGACAGGTCCCTTCCACCCTCTGTAATCTTGACCAGTTGTCTTTCCCTATTATCTTTACGGTTTTTTTATCGTTCAGCATTTTGGCTCTTATCTCTTCACATTTTTGCTCGGCCTTGGAGTTAGGTTTTAGGAGGTTCTTTTGCCCCTTCCATAACCAATATATTACGCAACCAATCAACGGTAATACTCTTTGACAGTCCGCTGCGTCGTTACAACTCCCGCCGTTGGCTTGTTGGATGATACTCTTCCAGAACCTCGTTTCGATCTTCCCCACATAATCATCGTCGTTTCCATCATATGCCTTGTTCTTACTCTTTCTGATACTGACGTCCAGAACTTGATCGACTATATCTTCCCATTGCAGTTGTTCCCTTCCGTCCTTGAGCTGGATTGACCCCGCCTTGAAGCCTCTTTTTTGTTCCTCGAAATCTTTTATTGTTATGCCTAAGACTCCGGGCCATTCATAAACGCCGTGATTGCCTCTGTTATAGATTCCCTGGTGTTGCGGGACTTCGTAGCAATATTTGGTCCCTTCATCTTTTCTGCATTCTTTTCGAGTTTGTGGTGGCCTTCGTGCCTGCCCTCCCCAGACATAAGGCATCTTGGTCGCGCCACCCACTCACCTTCCCCCTCGAGTTTTCCTTGTCCACTTGGGGTCTGCCCGGGTTCGATCCTGATCCTGAAACTCCGGTGTGTTCCTTCCTCGATTCCTCTAATCTATCACTGAATTCGTCCTTGGAAGTTTCTCCCTAATCAAGCCTTCCCGAAACGGTTGGGTGTCCAGTTTCCCGCTCAAATTGTTTTATCCTCTTCTCTGCCGCTTCGTGGTTTGAACTCCCTGTACCTCGCGTTCGTCTCCCTTCGGCTTCGAAACTTTTCGCCGCTGTGCCCTGTTGTCCTCGTCGAATCTCTACTGAGAGAGCTCCCTGGGCTTCTGTGGGGAAGGGGGTTGCCTCTTCCGCCTCTGGCTAACTGGAAGTCTTGCGATCAGTTGCCCCGGATCTCTCCGTTCCTTATCTGGTTCCATTCCCCCAATTCCCTTTCTCCAACTCAGACTGTGCTTTCTACTTGTTTTCGATATTCCCGTAGTCCCTCGTCCATTACTTCTCTCTTCTATCCCCGCCCGGGCGTCTCCCAGTCTTCTCTTTTCATTGTTCCCCTGATCTACCCTCTCTTCTGGGGGGGACCTGACGTATTGCCTGTTCTTGGCTAGCTACCCTTTCGCTCTGGATTGCCTTGGTGCCTTTCTCTCTTCCCCCTAGATTCCCCACCGGCCCCTCGATGTCCTCCTCCTACCTTTCCTGTTCTTGCCTTTTCTGGCTGCTCCCTGACCCCACGATGTGAGAGTCTTCCAACCGCTTGGGCCCTGGGTTTCCTCCTGCAGCTTCTGGCAGAACCTTGGCTGTTTCTGTATTTTTCCGGCTCGTTTGTCTTTTCCTTAACTCCGTCCTCTTAACTCAAGATCCTGGCCTTCTGGTTATTATGCGCGGCTCCTGACTCTTTGGCGGGGTCCCTCCGTGTTTGCTTACGGGTTGAGAGATTCCTCATGTTAAGAGAATCTGCTTGTCTTGTCATGGTTATCCTCCATATAGAGACTTTTAAAATTCCCAAACCTGATCCGACCAGAAGTTCTGCTTAACATGACGAGAATCTCCTCCCTATGTTCTTCTGACGATTGCCCCTGCGTCTCGCTCCGGTGGTGGACTTTCTCTAACCCGACGTCCCGTGTGCTTCGTGTCCCTTTATGTTCCTTCCTTGTCCCCTGCTTTGCTGTCTTAAGGACTTGTCCCTAGAGGGAGTTTCCCCCTTGTTCATCCTTTCTTAGAGTCCCTGACAGAAACATCATCCTCCCCTGATGACATTGCGGTGCCTTGAGTCCCTCTTCGTCGTCTAGTCGTGTGTTGAAGCTATACTTGGCTGGGTTTTCTCCTATAGTACTTCATCCACTAGTGGCCCGCATCTTTACTTGTATTGAACTTCCTCCCTGCGGTCCACTTTTTCCTCCTTCTAGGATTTATTCGGCGTTTCGTACCCCTTTTCCTGAATTAATCTGGTGGGGTTGCATCAGATGTTCTGGGACTTCGGGGTCCAAGCTCCTCCTTTGGACTTATTCTTCGCTGAAAGATCTGTCTCTTCTTTTCTTGACTCATCTCCCGCGGCTTCTGTCAGTGCTTCTCTTGGGCTGCTTCCTGTTTGATCCTGTTATCGGAGTTTCCCGATCTGGGATTTTGCTGAACGTTGTTATCTTCCTTACTCCTGAGATCTGATGTGAGTGAGAGAGACAGGGCCCTAGTGTCTCCCCGAACCCTATTTGTTATTGATTTGAGACGTATGCCCCCTATTGACCCGGCTTGGATCTCGATTCTAATTGCTTTGGTGTTACTCTCCTTCAAAAGCTCCCTCCTCCGCCTTTCTGCCTTTTTTCTCCTACTCCTTAGGATTTTGACCTTGGTCATGATCTGGTACTCTGATTGATTTTGGCTGCTCTTGCCCCTCTGCTCGCTGAATTAGCCTCAATTGCTTGGCCTACCTTGCGGTGATCTGGCTCTTCGCTCTATTTTATTGGGGTGCCTTGGCCGTGTCTGAGACCTTGATAGAATTCCCCTGTCAACACTCCTTGTTCTGGGCAGGGTCGTTCCCTGTGTACTCGTTGTAGGCGGTTTTGACCTGCGGCAGTTGTGTCGATCTCCTATCACACTCCTCGTGGGAAGCCCCCCTGGTGGCTCCTTCTATTGGTTCTGCTTCTTCTTTTTCCGCCTTTAGTTAGCCTCGGATTGCCCCTTGTGAGTCAGGGGATTCTCGGAGCTCCGTTCTTCATCTTCCTACTGGTTTTGGAGTGTGACTTGCCGTGCTGTATGATATCTTACTGAGCGCTCAGTTTTCTCTTCTTGTCTGTTCTTATCTTCTACTCCTCCGTCCTCCTTATTTACTGCAGCTTGGCGATGGTTCATCTACCTGTTCGGACTTAGACGATTGACCTGCCTTGTTCCTTAAGGAACTTCTGGATAGTCAAGACGTCTGACTGAAGTTGCTACGATTCCCTCCTGGACTCCTACTTCCCCTGGGTCTCAGCTGTTCTTGGGAGTCTCTTCGGGTTGACCCCTTCTTAACCTTATGGTGATTGTTTCTTGATGTACCTGCTTCCTGATCTTGTTGGAGATACTCTTGGCAGGTGGGTTTGATGTGTCTTACTTTTGCCCTCCCGCTTCGTGAGCTTGTGCTCTTTCCTTGTCTTTCTCTACTTCTCATTCTTTCAGATGATGATGCCTCTTCTCCAGGAGATCCTCTAATATTTCTTTTACGATTTCTGTAACTCCCCCTTCTTTGGTTAGTTCTACTCTTACTCCTTCCTGTTCTTATTAGAATCTTGAGATCTGCGGGGGGAGTTTGTGTCGAAATACTCTCCTGGCTCTAGATATCTTATCCTTCTCGGCCTCCCCTAATCTAGAGTCTCTCAGTCGGGACTGTGGTGGGTTTTATCCTTTTGTCCTTTTCTGCGTATTTGGGGTATTATTGATACGTTTTGGGGTTTTACTCTTGGGAGATCTCGAACCATTCGATTGCGACTTGGCGCTATCGTGAGCCCCTTCATCTTCCTAGTTTGTTTTGGGTATGTTGGGGATTCTTCGACTCAGTTGCTCCTTCTTTTGTTGAGTGTCTTCTTGAGGTCCTAGCCGAGAATATTATACCTCTCTTTCTTGGATTATCTGTGAGCTGGAGCCGGGGGGGATTTGATGGTTTCAGTTTTGGGGTTGTTAATTAAAGGTCCTTTTGACTCGGGGACACGAGACTTTTTATTCTCTCCTGAACTCCGCTCCTGGAATTGAGATTCTAGTGGTTGATAGTTCTCATTCGGAGTTTCTCCTTGCTTTGACCATTGTCCTGGTTCCGGTTTTGTTGATCCTGTGGAACCTGGGCTGGAGCTTTGTCTCTTAATCCTCCTCATTCGGCTTCGGATTTAAACGGTTCGTCCTCTTCTGACTCAGGAATGAGATTGACTTTTGGGGCTCTTGGGGATTGGTGGGGTTTCTTGACCTGTTTGAAATTGTTCAAAGTTCGATGACCCTCATTCCATTCGCTTCATGGCCCTCTTCATTCTTTGAGGTTTCCGTTTGGGTTCTTAGTTGGAGTTTTATGTTGGATGAGAGGAATTTATTCCGGCGGTTGGGTGTTGGTATGACCTTTGGTTCTATGAGTGCCTCTGTAGCTGCCTCTGGCTGGGGGGAGTCCTGTGGCTGTTTCTTCTGATTCCTCTTGAGTCGATGGGTTCATGTTCATACTGTCCTACGTCCAGCGTCCCGTTGGAGGTGGCGGGGTTGGGGGCCCGAGTGTTCGAAAGTTCTGGGGCACTTTGATTTTTCTGAGAATTATCCCTTTAGATTTAAGTCCTCTCCTGATCATCTATATTTTTATCTGGATCGTTTGTTAACACTGAGCTGTCGTTTCTCTTTTGGGGAAGCTAGTCATTTCGGGACTGTAGTGACTGATCTGCGTTAAGCCTGGGGGGTTTTCTGGGAGGGAAGGAGTCGTTCTATTTTAGGAGTTTTGATATCATGAGCCGTATATATCTATTGGTTGTCCTCTCTATTGCTCTCTCTAATAATTTGGTGGTTACTGCCCTGTTGTTTGACTTCCTAATCTTTGGTTATTATTGGGGGGTGTTAGTTGGGCCCACTATAGTGAGTGATTAATGCATTCTGCAGATTCAAGGTTTGGGGGGAGTTTCTGGGGATTGTTGCAGTGGAGAGGTGTTTCTTCTTTCCAGAGGGGAGAGAGTTGTGGTTTGAGCTTTCCTCTAGGAGTAGCTCCTTTACGGTTATTTGGCGGTTCTTGTTTCTTTTTCTCTGATTCTCTGTAGTTTTTTGCTAGTTATATCATTTGCGTGATCGTTGAAAAGAGATGGTAATCTGGTATCTTATTAACATGGGCTTAGTTGGAGGGTGAACCTCCCCTGCTGTGTTTTGGGGTAGTCTGGGTTTCATCTGGCTTGGACTATTCCTCCTCGTTGTGTTCTTGGTTAGTTTAGCTTCTTAAGACTAAGGAAGGGCTGCTAAAATTTTTTGGCCATTAATCACTTTCATCTTTGGACTGATGAAGTCTAGCTTCAGATTTGTCCCTCCTGAATTGTTCCTCAGGTTCCTCTATTTTGCTTAGGATATATAGTATCATGAGAGATGGCGATGACTAGACTAGTAAACAAAATAAAATTATTACGTGATTTTAGCATCATTCGGTTGAGATTTCTAACGTGCTGAGTCAGAGCCTGATTTTGGATGATGCAACTTTTCTTTGGAATTTGCTGGACTGTTGATTTATTTAGTCTTCTGGGTGTTATTCTTTATTTAAGTACCTGATCTTTCTTTTCCATTGGGACGGGACCTGGAGTATGGGGGCGTTGCATAAGAGGATTCTGATTGTTTTCGGTTTTGCAGTTTCTATTGTTCTTTCTGATTTATTTTTACTGAGATATACAGAAGATAATTGGCTGAGAAATCAGAGATTTTCATGGTTTCTATTCGGTAAGAATTCGGTTATTCCTCCGCCTCGAGTGTACTAGATTTAGATTTAACGACTGAGGTTAGGTTCTGGATTTCCTGTATAGACTGATAACCCTGATTTGTAGCTTCTGGATTTGTGAAGGAGTCATGTGTGAAGGATTTGTGGGGGCAGATGCTTTATTTTGAGACTTCCTCTTTACTTAAATAATTAAACCAACTTTTGCTTTTTCATATTTAGTCCCATTTGGATTCTGAGAAATGCTATATATACCTCTAGCCTTATGATTCCTGGTAGATTGGGTGTGGGAGGGGGGCTCTATTTTTGGGATTTTGGTTAATGTTTGTATGTTTTGCTCCTTTCTTGTCTACTGGCCTTGGGAGGTTGTTGTTTGGCTGGTTTTGATTATTCATCTTGGGGATTGGGAACTTAATCTGCCGTTTTAATCCTGTGGGGGGTTTCTGGTGGGTACTCAGGCTTTCTCGTCAACATAAAGCCGAAAGGTTTTCTTTTGATCTGTTGGGATTTGATGGGTAATGTTGTCCTTTCCGTTTAGAAAAGCGTTTTGCCGTTGGAGAATTAAGGTTTCGAGTTAAATATACAATATGACGGAGGTTTCATAATCTGTTTTCATCTTGGGGCTAAAGAGGACTATAGATACGTTTCAGACAGTGTCCATTAATGGATAAACACTTATTCATTCCATTACTTAAGTTTTCTTTAAAGAAAATATAGAAGGAACAAGATTGTGGCCCTGAAAATTTCTAAATACAATGATTTTCTATAGAACGATCTCTTTTAAGTTATTATAGAGTGATAATGAGTCTTGAAAACATGAATTTTATAGTGGCATAGGGATTTGCTCCTTTCCTTTCATTTGATTTTTGAATAGTTAGAAACAATGATTTGGATGTTGGCTCCTTGTTGATGGCATCTTTCGTCCTTTCTGTTTTTCCTTCTGAGAGAGGACATTGCCTTAATATTAAACAGGGCTTGATCATTTTATGGTCAAGTTTCTACTATAAGTGGGTTCAGAAATTACAGACTTTATGGGATTCTATCAATTCCTGAAAAATCACCATCATTAGATTTAGAATTTTCGGAATTTAGTTTTCCATCTGACCCTTCTGTTCTTAGATAGTCAACTGCAGTTATCCGGAGGGAAATTCTCCGTTAGTTTTTTTTTTGGAGGGTGTCTCCCTTGTGGGGGTAGCAGGTTGGACAAGATTGTTAAAATATTGTTGTTTGACAGGTCCCTTAGACATGACCTATAAGGAGGTTATTGATGTCTTATACCCATAGACTCCTTCTTTCAAATAAACATCGAAAAATAAGGTAGACCTGATCCAGGGTAAGAACAAAATAAGTAATTTTGAGAGGCTCGTGATCACTCGTTTAAGAGATTTTTAGCTCATATATTCTTCTAGTAGAAACATGTAAGAAGCGACAACGAGAATCTTAACTAAGCATGAGCGAAAAAGGAATCTCCTCTATTTAAGGCCAGGGGAGGTTGCTCCTTGGTGTTCATGGGTTCCAGAATGTCTTGTTGTTCTTTTCTCATACTCAGTTGAGCATTCATGAGTTAGAGCAGAATTGGATTCAGTGAGAAAACCCATAGTATCTTAATCTAATTCCTTGGGGAGACATAATTATACTTACAAGATG